CAGCCTCTCACATATTTATACATGGCTAACATATCTCCTCTCAGCCTTTTCTTCTTCAGCTAAACATGCCCAGCTCCTTAAGCCACTCCTCATAGGGCTTGTTCTCCAGACCCTTGATCATTTCAGTCGCCCTCCTCTGGACACATTCCAGCTTGTCAATATCTCTCTTCAATTGTGGTGCCCAGAATTGGACACAATATTCCAGGGGTGGTCTAACCAAAGCAGAATAGTGCATGGGTAGCATGACTTCCCTAGATCTAGACACTAGGCTCCTATTGATGCAGGCCAAAATCCCATTGGCTTTTTTTGCCGCCACATCACATTGCCGCCACATCACATCATGTTTAACTTGTCCACGAGGACTCCAAGATCTTTTTCACACGTCCTGCTCTCGAGCCAGGCATCGTCCCCCATTCTGTATCTTTGCATTTCGTTTTTTCTGCCTAAGTGGAGTATCTTGCATTTGTCCCTGTTGAACTTCATTTTGTTAGTCAGTGGTTCCAATCCCGGGAGAGTGGGTTGAGCTCCCTCTGTCAGCTCTAGCTCCCCATGCTTCTCTACATGAGAGAAGCCTCCCACAAGGATGGTAAAACATCAAAACATCCGGGCGTCCCCTGGGCAATGTGCTTGCAGACAGCCAATTCTCTCACACCAGAAGCGACTTGCAGTTTCTCAAGTCGCTCCTGACATGACAAAAAAAGAGAAAAATCCATCACCAACCTGTGAAGGGAAGCAAGAGAGAGTTATCCATGCGCATCATCCTGCACACTTTACTGCCCTCCAATTTGGAAGGGAAACAGCTGATTCTTCAGTTTCCACATTTCAACGTCTTGGCCACTGATCCGTTGCACATGAAGGGCTGAGTGGAGACGGAGCCAAAGGGTTACCTATGCGCTGCCATCTTGCCAGGCTTGGCAGCTGGGCAACTGGACTTTGCCTGCGGTTGTCGGGAAGAGAAATGATCAACCAGTTCTTGGAAGGAATGGATTCTCAAAAGCTTCAAAAGTTTGGATGGGGAGAAAGATCAGAACAAAGCTGACTCATAGTTGCACCAGCACTCTTGGGCAGAGAAGACTTTGTGAAGCTACAACTCCCATGATTACAGAGCATTGAGCCCCAAAAGTGGTCTCTGGACCAAATTTGGCACAAATACCCAATATGCCCAAATTTGAATACGGGTGGGGTTGGGGAGGGGATTGAATTTGTCAATCGGGAGATATAGTTGCTGGGATAGATAGTTCACCTACAATCAAAGAGCACTCTGAACTCCACCAATGATGAAACTGAACCAAACTTGGCACACAGAACTCCCATGACCAAGAGAAAATACTGGATTTTGTCATTTGGGATTTGTAGTTGCTGGGATTGATAGTTCACCTACAATCAAAGAGCACTCTGAACTCCACCAACGATGGAATTGGCACACAGAACTCTCATGATCAACATAAAATACTGGAAGGGTGTGGTGAGCATTGACCTTGAGTTTGGGAGCTGTAGTTCACTTGCATCCAGAGAGCACTGTGGACTCAGACAATGATGGATCTGGACCAAACTTGGCATGAATACTCAATATGCCCAAATGTGAACACTGGTGGAGTTTGGGGGAAATAGACCTTGACATTTGGGAATTGTAGTTGCTGGGATTTAGTTCACCTACAATCAAAGAGCACTCTGAACTCCACCAACGATGGAATTGAACCAAACTTGGCTCACAGAACTCCCATGACCAACAGAAAATACTGGAAGGGTGTGGTGGGCATTGACCTTGAGTTTGGGAGTTGTAGTTCATCTGCATCTAGAGAGGACTGTGGACTCAAACAATAATGGCTCTGGATCAAATTTAGCACGAATACTCAATATGCCCAAATGTGAACACTGGTGGAGTTTGGGGGAAATTGACCTTGACATTTGGGAATTGTAGTTGCTGGGATTTATAGTTCACCTAAAATCAAATCAAATAGCATTCTGAAATCCACCAATGATGGAATTGAACCAAACTTGGCACACAGAACTCCCATGACCAAGAGAAAACACTGGAATGATTTGGTGGGCAATGATCTTGAATTTTGGAGTTGTAGTTCACCTACGTCCAGAGTGTACTGTGGACTCAAACAAGGATGGATCTGGACCAAACTTAGCATGAATACTCAATATGTCCAAATGTGAACACTGGTGGAGTTTGGGGAAAATAGACTTTGACATTTGGGAATTGTAGTTGCTGGGATTTATAGTTCACCTACAATCAAAGAGCATTCTGAACCCCACCAATGATAGAATGCTTGCCATAGATGCAGGCGAAACGTCAGGAGAAATGCCTCTAGAACATGGCTCTATACCCCGAAAAAAACCACAAGAACCTAGTGATTCCAGCCATGAAAGCCTTCGACAATACAATGATAGAATTGGTCCAAACCTCTCACACAGAACCTCCAGGACCAACAGAAAATACTGTGTTTTCTGATGGTCTTTGGCAAGCCCTCTGACACCCCCTCGTGACCTCCCCACTCCCCCCAGGGGACCCGACCCCAATGTTGAGAAACACTGGTGTAGATGCATTCAGGGACACTATCAAAGGTCAGAAGACACTCATGGATGCTTTCCTCTGTCAAAGGTCAGAAGAGTGTATTGTCTGGAGGTATTTACCTTCATGCCCTCACTGATTGACTCTGCAGCTATTGCTTACTCACTGATAATCATTACGTTTGCTAATTGCAACACCCACACTTTCTTTAAACAGACAAGGGTTCTTTCTCCCACCCTGGACATTATTCCACAGGTATATATACACTCCACTTGCTTCATTGCCAACAGAACCTCTGAGGATGCTTGCCACAGATGCAGGCGAAACGTCAGGAGAGAATGCTACTGGAAAATGGCCATACAGCCCGGGATACTCATAGCAACCCAAGTATCTGTCACTTTGAACGCAGTCCAGTGTCATCTTTTGCAACGAAAGAAGGCAAAAGCTAAAATACTATTTTGTCTCTTGTGTTGTTGTTGTTGTTGTTGTTATTGTTGTTGTTGTTATGGCCACCTTGATTAGCATTTGATGGCCTGGCAGTTTTTTGGGGTGGCTTGTTAGTGTCTGGGGGATTTATTTTTTTTGTCGTGTCAGGAGCTACTTGAGAAACTGCAAGTCACTTCTGGTGTGAGAGAATTGGCCATCTGCAAGGACCTTGCTCAGGGGATGCCCGGATGATTTGATGTTTTTATCATCCTTGTGGGAGGCTTCTCTCATGTCCCCGCATGAGGAGCTGGAGCTGATAGAGGGAGCTCATCCGCCTCTCCCCGGATTCGAACCTGCGACCTGTCGGTCTTCATTCCTGTCGGCACAGGGGTTTAACCCACTGTGCCACCGGGGGCTCCGTCTGGGGGAAATAATCAGGGACAGCTAATCACCTCTCAACAAAAGATTGCCCCAGGCACTAACAACCCACACCAAAAAACGGCCAGGCCATCAAATGCTAATCAAGGTGGTCAGTTGAAACATTCACACCTAGCTCCGACAGACAACAGTTCTTTGTCCCACCCTGGTCATTCCACAGACATATAAACCCAATTTTCCTTCTTCCAACTGATCTCACTACCTCTGAGGACGCTTGCCATAGATGCAGGCGAAACGTCAGGAGAAAATACGTAAGCACATTTACATTGAAGAAGGTAAATAATCATTTAATCCGAGTTGGACAATCTTATCTTAAATTACCATTTTTATAAATATTCAAAAAATATATAACCTACTGATTGGGTTGTTGTAGATTTTTTCGGGCTATATGGCTATGTTCTAGAGGCATTTTCTCCTGACGTTTCGCCTGCATCTATGGCAAGCATTCTCAGAGGTAGTGAGGTCTTTTGGAAGTAGGAGAAGGGTTGGAAGCCAAATCCTTCAAGGAGCTGAGTTTAGCTTGGAGAAGAGAAGGCCACATGAGAGCCAGATGTAAACATTGGAAAGGATGTATTGTCGAAGGCTTTCATGGTTGGAATCACTAGGTTCTTGTAGATTTTTTCGGGCTATATGGCCATGTTCTAGAGGCATTTTCTCCTGACGTTTTGCCTGCATCTATGGCAAGCATCCTCAGAGGTAGTGAGGTCTTTTGGAAGTAGGAAAAAGGGGTTTTATATATCTGTGGAATGACCAGGGTGGGACAAAGGACTCTTGCCTGTCGGAGCTAGGTGTTAATGTTTCAACTGACCACCTTGATTAGCATTTGATTGCCTGGCAGTGCCTGAAGCATTCTTTTGTTGAGAGGTGATTAGATGTCCTTGTTTGTTTCCTTTCTGTTGTTGTGCTATTCTAATCTTAGAGTTTTTTAAACACTGGTAGCCTACCTCTAAAAACTCTAAAACTCTAAAAAAAACCCTCTAAAAACTCTTTTAAAAACCCTCTAAAATTAGAATAGCACAACAACAGAGAGGAAACAAACAAGGACATCTAATCACCTCTCAACAAAAGATTGCTCCAGGCACTGCCAGGCAATCAAATGCTAATCAAGGTGGTTAGTTGAAACATTAACACCTAGCTCCGACAGGTAAGAGTCCTTTGTCCCACCCTGGTCATTCCACAGATATAAAACCCAATTTTCCTAGTTCCAACCGATCTCACTACCTCTGTGGATGCCTGCCATAGATGCAGGCGAAACGTCAGGAGAAAATGCCTCTAGAACATGCCTCTGGAACATTACCCGATGTCATTTCACTTTGACAGAAAATGTTCCCAAACTGGTCCAATTTGTGGCGCAATCCAAGGTTTACCGGTTCCATTTTCCTGCCCCTTTCCCCACATCCTCGGAGCATTTTTCGATGACATTTCAACCGCCACCGCCCCCCAGAAGGAATGGCTATTTAGGTAATAATTAAACTAGTTTAGAAATATTATATTAAGTTGTCTTGCCAAATGATAAGGGTTTCAAACCAAGGGAAGCCGAAGTAGTGAGGAGACTAAAGCTTTAGATGAGTAGTAAAATCTAGGGACGGCAACGTGATTATCGAAATCGTTCACCATGACGTTTGCGGACATCCTGGAGAGCTTAGGGGGCATGGGGCGCTTCCAGAGGCTCTCGGTGGCCTTCCTCGCCCTCCCCTTGACCATGTTGGCCAGCCACAACCTTCTCCAGAACTTCACGGCAGGGATCCCTGCGCATCACTGTCAGATACGCATCACGGCCAACTACACCCGCTATGCCAACAACGTCACCAAAGAGATGGGCACCGAGAGCCTTCTGCGGATCTCCATCCCGACAGGCAAGGACCAGAAGGTGGAGAAGTGTCGTCGGTATGTCACCACTCAATGGAGGCTCCTCGACCCCAATACAACGCTACGCAACGACACCGTGGTGGACACCGAGCCATGCTCTGATGGGTGGACCTATGACCGGAGCATGTTTCCCAGCACCATTGTCAGTGAGGTGAGCTGAGAATCTTGACCTGCAAGCTATAAGATGTTGCTCGAGCAGCTAGGGGAGGAATGGGCAAATCCAGGCTTGTGGGCCAGATGCATCCACTTGGACTCTTTTTTCAGGCCGTCCTCTCTCTCACCAACCTTCCTTCCCTCTTTCCCTCCTCCTTCCCTCTCTCTCTTCTTTTCTCCCTTTCTCCTCCCTCTCCTCCCTTCCCTTTCCTCCCTCCCTCCCTTTCTCCTTCCCTCTCCTTTTCTCCTTCCTTCCTTCCTTCCTACTTTCCTTCCTTCCTTCCTTCCTCCTTCTTCCTTCATTCTTTCCTTCCTCTTCCTTCTTCCCTTCCTCCCTCTTTCCTTCCTTCTTCCTCCCTTCTTCTTCTTCTTTTCCTTCCTTCCTTCCTTCCTTCCTCCCCTTTTCCTCTCTCCTTTCTTTCTTTCTTTCTTTTTTTCTTTTTTTCTTTCCTTTTTTTTCCCTTCCTTCCTTCCTTTCCTTCCTTTCCTCTTCTCCTTCTTTCTTTCTTTCTTTCCTCCCTCCTTCCCCATTCTCCTCCTTCCTTCCTTCCTTCCTTCCTTCCTTCCTTCCTTCCTTTCCTTCTTCCTCCTTTCCTTCTTCCCTTCTCTTTCCTTCCTCCTTCCTTCCTTCCTCTTTCTCTTTCCATCCTTTCTTCCTCCCTTTCATCCTTCCTTCCCTTCTTTCTTTCCTCTTCCCTCTCTTTCCTTTCCTTCCCTTCCCCTTTCCTCCTCCTCTCCTTTCCTTCCTCCTTCCTCTCCCTTTTGTCTTTCCTTCCTTCTCTTTCCTTCCTCCTTCCCCCTTCCTTCCTTCTCTCCCTCCTTCCCTTCTTCCTCCTCCTTCCCCCTTCCCTTCTTTCCTTCCATCTTAAAAGGGAGTTCTAGCATGTGGCTCCGAGGTAGAAAGTTTGCCTATACCGGTTCAACAGTGTAATGATAATGCTTTAAGAAGTATACAAGCCGTCTCCAAGTTACAAACATCCAACTTACAAATTACTCATAGTTAAGAACAGAGGTGAGACAACAGGAAGTGAGAGACATCTACCCCTCGGAGGAGAAATCCACTCCTGAAAGAGTTATTATCATGTGGGAAAGGGGTCTCCACTGAAGCTTCTTCACCAACCCTTGCTTCCTCAACAAGCTAAATTTTCCAGAATCCACTTCTCACCAGGACAGAAAGTGCACTGAAATCTTCCAAACAGGTTTTCTTACTGTTGGAGTTCAGCCTGTATGTGAACCTGAACCTGATTCTCTGATTGTATTTCCTGATGCAACTGAACAGGCTACTGAACATGTAATTTTCCCTGATGGTTTTGAAGATGTTGATTCTGAGGTTAGTGGCTTGGAAAGTGAAACTACACATCCTGATGAGAATGTTTCAGAACCAAGCAGTGATAGCTCTCCAGAGGAGCTAACACCTGGCTTCCTTAATGAGGATAGAAAAGGACAGATTTGGAAAAACAGAAGTGAATCGCAGAGTCTGCGAAGGTCAAGCAGATTAAGGGAAAAAGAGGCACAGGCTTCAAAGCCTGGAGGCGTGTCCTGAAACAGTTTCTTCAGTTTTAAGTGCCTCTCCCCGGGCTGTCTCGTTAGATCAGGTATCGTTTAGACTGAGGCATTACCTTGGCAGATTTCCCGTTTCCTGTGACCTGCATCCCAAGAGGCTTCTAGTGTTCCAAGTACGGTTAGTGAGATGCTAACAGGTTCCAGGTTTTTACAGTGTTGCTTTTGGAATTTTGATCTAGTTCATAGATATTCCTGACTGTTGAATTTTACTGTGGCTTTTTGACTTTGCATTTTCCTCTATTTTGTAACCATTTTTTCATCAATAAAAAGGGATTGTTTTTCCCACAGTCAAGTGTGGTGGATGGTTATCTTATGGTCTTGTTTCCTGATCTGGGTTGCAACACTTACCATCATAGAATTCTAGAGTTGGATTAGAGCCCAACCCAATTATACCAGGCAGGAGGACACAATCAAAGCCCTCCCAACAGATGGTCATTGAGCTTCTGTATACCCTCTGATCTTCCAATTTCTTGGCAGTGGGATTTAGTGTGTGATGCGCGGACCCTGCGGCAAATGGCTCAGTCCCTCTACATGGCCGGTGTGCTGATCGGATCGCTGATCATCGGCTTCCTCTCAGACAGGTGAGCAGAGAAATCTGGGAAATTATGCTTATTTTGCAAAAGAGACTCAAAGAATACAGCAATTGCAGAAAAAAAGGAAATCTGATGGATTCTTTTCCACTGAGATCCATAAGGAGTTGGGTAGCCTCTTCCATTGGAAGAAAGAAGTACACAAAGAAGGGAAGCTTGGGGCAAATAAGGACACCTTCGAGTCGCACATTAAACTTGTCTGATCCCGTCTGCTGTTTAGATTCGGGAGGAAGGCCCTCATCGTTTGGTGCTACATGCAGATGGGGGTTGCGGGCGCCTGCACGGCTTTCGCGCCAAACTTCACTGCTTACTGCATCCTTCGCTTCCTGTGCGGAATGGCCATGTCGGGAATCTCGCTCAACTCCGTCTCTCTGTGTGAGTCACCATGCTGTTTTCCTTGCTACGGCAAAAGGATCCGAAACTCGGACCTACGTTATTTATTTATTTATTTATTTATTTATTATTCAAACTTATATGCCGCCACTCCCCTGGGGCTCGGAGCGGCTTACAAGAACAGGCTAAAATCGAACACAATTTAAAAACAATTTAAAAACAGCAAACAAAGATCAAAGGCCCGTCGAAATAGATGTGTCTTACATGCCCTGCAGAAAGCTGATAAGTCCCGCAAGGTACAGACTTCCGGTGGCAGAGTATTCCAGAGTGATGGTGCCACTGCTGTGAAGGCTCTGCGTCTGGTTGCTGTTAGACGCAAGGTCTTGACACTGGGAATTTCCAACAAATCTTGGTCCTCAGAACGGAGGGATCTCTGGGGTTGGTAGGGGGTGAGGCGGTCCCTCAGGTACATCGGCCCCAGACCATGCAAGGCCTTAAAGGTGAGTACCATCACTTTGAAGTGATCCGGTGCTCAATTGGTAACCAATGCAGCTGCAGTAAGATTGGTGTTATGTGGCATCTCATCGGAATTCCCGCAAGAAGCCGAGCAGCTGCATTTTGTACCAACTTGAGCTTCCGGATCACCGACAGAGGAAGGCCAATGTAGAGGGCGTTACAGTAGTCCAGTCTTGAGATGACCGTGGCCTGGATCACCGTAGCTAGGTCGTCCCTGGACAGGGAGGGGGCCAGCCGTCTAGCCTGCCGCAGGTGAAAGAAGGCGGTTCTGCTCACGGCGGAGACCTGGGCCTCCATCGTCAGCAGAGGGTCCAAAAGGACTCCCAGACTCTTTACTAGTGATGACGGGCGTAGCGCCTCGCCATCCAGGGTAGGCAGCTGGATGTCCCCACTGCCCGGTTGACCCAGCCATAGGATCTCTGTCTTTGCTGGATTCACCCTCAACCTGCTGGCACGCAGCCATCCAGTAACGGCCTCGAGGCACTGATGGAAACAATCGGGTACAGAGTCCGGTCGGCCTTCCATCTTCATCACCAGCTGAGTGTCATCAGCGTACTGATAACACTCAAGCCCAAAACCTCGAACCAGCTGAGCAAGTGGTCGCATATAGATGTTAAACAACAGAAGGGAGAGAATGCCCCCCTGAGGAACCCCACAAGATAGAGGGGACTTTATGTACATCATGCACTGATACAAAGTATTCCAAAATCTGAAATCCAAAACATTCAATCCAAGCCTTTCGGGTAAGGGATACTCGACATGGATTACTTGTCAGGATATATCAGGATAGTGTTAGCAGACCACGGAATATCTCAGCCCCTTTTACTATTAGTGTGATTAAAAAGTCAAAAAATCACAAGACTCTGTTGCTTTAAGTAGTAAAGAAAATATAGCTCAATTCACTGTAGTTCAATAACACCAAGCAAAACTACCTCTGAGGATGCTTGCCATAGATGCAGGTGAAACGTCTAGACCATGGCCATACAGCCCGAAAAAACCTACAACAACCCAAAACAGAAGAGTTGTTCTCACCAATGTATAACAAAGAATATCTCCGGTGAGTCTTCTTCTTTAAATGATAACATGCAAAAATATAGCAAATATTTCAGTCTCTCTACTTTGTTATCAGTAGAATGTCCTTATCTTGCCATAAATAAGCAGTCTTCCTCGGCACTCCAAACAGCTTCGGTCTTCAGCTTCAGGATGCTGCATAACCACTCCCAGCAACAGCCAACCGCTTCTTCAGCTCTAACAAGGCATCAAGCTACGCCAAATGCAAAGCTCAAAACTCACAAACCTAGTGCCTTGTTATATGCAGAAGTTGATAACACACCCAACTACCTCTGAGGATGCTTGCCATAGATGCAGGCGAAACGTCAGGAGAGAATGCCTCTAGACCATGGCCATATATCCCGAAAAACCCTACAACAACCCAGTGATTCCAGCCATGAAAGCGTTCAACAATACACCCAATTAACTTGTAGCAGCTGTAACAGTTCTGATCCTCACTGTTACTTAGAAAAAAGGCTATTGTAAACCCCTAGTAGCAACACTACTTACAGTCAGATTGGCTGTATCAACCCATCGCACCGTCCACCGAATGACTTTCTTTTCGGATTTTCAATTGTAAACTCAGAATGAAACAAAATTTCACATGGGTTGCTGTGAGTTTTCCAGACTGTATGGCCATGTTCCAGAAGCATTCTCTCCTGATGTTTCACCCACATCTATGGCAGGCATAGACTCATTCTGGGCCAGTTAACACTTCCCAACTAAGGATTCCCCCAGGCAGCAACCAGCCAGGCTTTTGAGCTGCAAGGCTATCAAATGCTAATCAAGATGGCCAATTACAAGATTCACACTTACCTCAAGCAGACAAGAGTTTTTTCTCCCACCCTGGACTTTGTTCCACAGATATATGAACCCAACTTGCCTAATTTCCGACAGACCACACAACCTCTGAGGATGCCTGCCATAGATGTGGGTGAAACATCAGGAGAGAATGCTTCTGGAACATGGCCAGACATCCCAGAAAACTCACAACAACCCAGTGATTCCGGCGATGAAAGCCTCCAACCACACAAAATTTCACATATTGATAAGAGCTGTGGTGGAGAGCTCATTAAATGAGAATGGCTCTCTTGTTGTTTACTGCATTCAATATGAAAATTACTGTATATACTCATATATAAGTCTAGAAAAATTAGTTAAGGGAATCAATCCCAACAAAAGCAGGACTGACTTATCAATGAGGACAGTGTGGATTGTGTGTCTTAAATCCATCTATCTATCCATCTATGTATCTGTCTATGAAAATATGTATGTATCCATGAAAATATGCATGTATGTATGTAAATATGTTCCGTAAAGGCTCCTACATAGTTTGATGAACCTGGACCAAACCTGGAATACATACCCTTCATGATCCAAATTAAAATATTGTTGAGGTTTCAATGTAAAACATCTGATCCGGTCAGGGTTAGACCCCCCCGAAAGCAAACACTGAGTATGTATGTATGCAGTACTCAGATGCAACCACAAGAGGGTGGTAGATTGAAAGGCAACCTCAGAGAGAGAGATGACAAATGGAATAGGGTGGACGTATACATGAAGGAACATATATGGTTTCTCTGTCTTGTCCCAGGCATGGAATGGATCCCAACCAAATACCGCGCCGTTGTCGGCACCATCAATGGCTACTGCTACACCACAGGGCAATTCATCCTGGCCGGCGTGGCCTATGCCATCCCCGACTGGCGGTGGCTGCAATTGGCCATCTCCTTGCCTTTCTTCATCTTTTTCCTCTACTCCTGGTAAGTCAGAGGATGTTCTCTCAATGTGACATTTGCATCCTGGAGTTGGAAGAGACTAGTGGATGATCTTCGCCGGGAACTGGACAGGGGGAGTGTGTCCCTGTTGGTTCTGCTGGACCTCTCATCAGCCTTCAATACTGTCAACCATGGTATCCTCCTGGGACGCCTCGGAGGAATGGGTCTTGGGGGCAGAGGCAGCCCTAGGTAATTTTCAACAATAAGCAAATAGTATTTTGGCGCCCCCCCCCCAAAAAAAACCCCAATCATTGATATATATTTTCTGTTTGTCGTGGGAGTTCTGTGTGCCATATTTGATTCAACTCCATCATTGGTGGAGTTCAGAATGCTCTCTGATTGTAGGTGAACTATACATCCCAGTAATAGTTCACCTTGCTGCATTTGCTCCCTTGCCTGGCCCGCTTTGGAGGTGTGCCTGAAGACCCCGGAGGCATGCCTGAAGACCCTGGCATGTGCACCAAAAGTCACCTCTTCTCCTGACTTTCTCCTCAGCCATTGGGACCGAGAGAGAGAGAGAGAGAGAGAGAGAGAGAGAGGTGGAGATGCCCACCTTTCCTGAAGGTAGGCGCAAAAACAAAGGAGGGAGCGGAGGTGGGAGATACCTCCAGCCGGAGGGGCTCTCTCTCTCTCTCTCGGTCCCAATGGCTGAAGAGAAAGTCAGGAGAAGAGGCGACTTTTGGTGCGCACGCTGGGGTCTTCAGACACGCCTCCGGACCCGAAGCTGGCCATGCGCGGCGGCTCCGCCCCTTTGCCCACCTGTGGATTGGGGAGAGGAGGCGGGTGGAGCGCCAGGGGATCGGGAAAGGATTGAACGCGGAGAACGATTGAGTGCCGGCTCTGCTGACGCACCCGGTGGCCGGGTGGAGCAGGAACGAGAGGGGCTAGGCGAGGCTCAAGGGCCCGGCCCCTTTGGGAAGAGGATCGCCCGGCAGCGAGGCAAGAAAGCTGAGGCTCCCCCCGGACTGCTAGGGCTGTTGTGAGCTGAGGGGGCGCTCCTCAAGTGGCGGTCGAGGGGCATTTACAGAGGCACCTCTGCGCCCCTGGCAAAAAAAAGTGTTCTGCGACCGCTTACTTAGCGTAATGGACGAGCCGCCCCTGCCTGAGCAGTGGCTCCAGTCCTTCCTTGAGGGTCTCTCCTAGAAGGGGACACCTGCTCAACCCTGCAGCCATTGTACTGTGGTGTCCCGCAGGACTCAGTGCTGTCCCCTATGTTGTTCAACATATACATGAAGCCGTTGGGAGAGATCATCCGGAGTTTCAGGGTTCGGTGTCATCTGTACGCAGATGATGTCCAACTCTATTACTCCTTTCCACCCGTTACTAAGGAGGCTATTCAAGTCCTGAACTGGTGCTTGGCCACTGTAATGGACTGGATGAGGGCCAACAGGTTGAATCTAAATTTAGACAAGACAGAGGTACTCCTGGTCAGTCGAAAGGCCGAACAGGGCCTGTGCTTGACGGGGTTACACCCCCCGCCCCCGAAGGCGCAGGTTCGCAGCTTGGGAGTGATCCTGGACTCACCACCGAGCCTGGAACCCCAGGTCTCGGTGGTGGTCAGGGGAGACTTTTCACAATTCAAACTTGTGCGCCAGCTGCACCCATACCTTGGGAAGTCTGACTTGGCCACAGTGGTCCACGCTCTGGTTACATCCTGTATAGACTACTGCAACGCTCTTTATGTGGGGTTGCCTCTGAAGACTGCCCGGAAGCTTGAACTAGTCCAACGAGCGGCAGCCAGATTACTAACAGGAGCGGGGTACAGGGAGCATACTACTCCTCTGTTGCGTCAGCTCCACTGGCTGCCAATTAGCTTCCGAGCACAATTCAAAGTGCTGTTGTTGACCTATAAATCCCTAAACAACTCCGGCCCAGTTTACCTGTCCGAACGTATTCTCCCCTATGAACCATCAAGGTTGTTAAAATCTTCTGGAGGGGCCCTGCTCTCGGTCCCACCACCTTCACAATAGGGGTTGGTGGGGACGAGGGACAGGGCCTTCTCGGTGGTGGCCCCTCAGCTCTGGAACTCTCTCCCGCTGGAGATTAGATCTGCCCCTTCCCTCCTGACCTTCAGAAAGCTGGTAAAATCTTGGCTTTGGAATATAGCATGTGCAGAATGATGATCGAGTCAATAACGGCTGCCCACACTGGCGGATGGTGATGAATTTGTGATTTTACTCTGATGACCTGGTATTGTATGAACTGTATTGTAATGTAATTTGTATTGATGTAAAATGATGCTATTATGTTTACTCTGTTTGTGTATGAATTTTCTGCTGTTAGCTGGCCTGAGTCCCTCTTTGGAGGTCGAGAAGACCGGGTTGTAAAAGCTCTAAATAAATAAATAAATAAATAATGGCCGCGTTTGTTTTTCCTTGTTTTTGGACTCCAGGTTGTTCGTGGAGTCGGCACGTTGGTTGGCAATTTCCGGGAAAGAGGAGCGGGCGGTGAAAGGCTTAAAGAAAGCGGCCTGGATCAATGGGAGGAAGAAGGAAGGAGACAAACTCAGCGTGGAGGTAAGTGGCTTCCAAACCTTTCACCGTTTTGGTCTCCTTTCCATCTTGTCCATCTTCTTGAAGCCAGAACTAGACACAATATTTTTCCAAGTCAGGTCTGGCCAATGCAGAAGAGAGTCGGACTATAATTTCCTTGTATTGTCGAAGGCTTTCATGGCCGGAATCACTGGGTTGTTGTAGGTTTTTCCGGGCTATATGGCCGTGTTCTGGAGGCAATTTTTCTCCTGACGTTTTGCCTGCATCTATGGCAAGCATCCTCAGAGGTAGTGAGGTCTGTTGGAAGTAGGAAAATGGGTTTATATATCTGTGGAATGACCAGGGTGGACAAAGGACTTTTGTCTGCTGGGGCTAGCTGTGAATGTTTCAGCTGATCACCTTGATTAGCATTCAATGGCTTGGAAGTGCCTGGGGGAATCTTTTGTTGAGAGTGATTTGATGTGCCTGTTTGTTTCTCCTCTGTTGTTTTGCTGTTGTAATTTTTGAGTTTTTTAATACTGGTAGCCAGATTTTGTTCATTTTCATGGTTTCTTCCTTTCTGTTGAAATTGTCCACATGCTTGTGGATTTCAATGGCTTCTCTGTGTAGTCTGACATGGTGGTTGTGAGAGTGGTCCAGCATTTCTGTGTTCTCAAATAATATGCTGTGTCCAGGTTGGTTCATCAGGTGCTCTGCTATGGCTGACTTCTCTGGTTGAAGTAGTCTGCAGTGCCTTTCATGTTCCTTGATGCGTGTCTGGGCAATGCTGCGTTTGGTGGTCCCTATGTAGACTTGTCCACAGCTGCATGATATATAAACCCATTTTTCCTACTTCCAACAGACCTCACTACCTCTGAGGATGCTTGCCATAGATGCAGGCAAAACGTCAGGAGAAAAATTGCCTCCGGAAAATGGCCATATAGCCCGGAAAAACCTACAACGCTATAACTTCCTTGGTTTGGATATTATATTCCGATTGAAGCCAATGCCTTCCTCTAAGATTGATGCAATATCATCCTAGTTTTCTCCTTCCTCTCCCAGGTCCTGAAGGAGGAGATGCAGAAGGAGATGTCCTCCAACAAGGCCAGCCACACTATGGTTGACCTGGTGCGGACGCCCGCTGTCCGCAAAATTTCCTGCGGGGTGTCCTTTCTCTGGTAAGTCATCCCTATGGTTATGTTTTCTTTTAAAAGACAACAACAACAACAACAACAACAACAACAACAACAACAACAATTTTATTTGTCGTGTCAGGGCAACAAGTCAATTGTATTACATTTCTAACAGAACAAAACAAACAAACAGACAAAACACAAAATTTGCAAGTTTGGTAGTTGATTAAATGTCCTTTGACCAGTATCTGGCCACTTGGAGTGCTTCTGGTGTTGCCGCAAGAAGGTCCTCCATTGTGCATGTGGCAGGGCTCAGGGTGCATTGCAGCAGGTGGTCAGTGGTTTGCTCTTCTCCACACTCGCATGTCGTTGATTCCACTTTGTGGCCCCATTTCTTGAAGTTGGCTCTGTATCTCGTGGTGCCCGAGCGCAGTCTGTTCAGCGCCTTCCAAGTCGCCCAGTCTTCTGTGTGCCCAGGGGGGAGTCTCTCATTTGGTATCAGCCATTGGTTGAGGTTCTGGGTTTGAGCCTGCCACTTTTGGACTCTCGCTTGCTGAGGTGCTCCAGTGAGTGTCTCTGTAGATCTTAGAAAACTATTTCTTAGATTTAAGTCATTGACGTGCTGGCTGATACCCAAACAGGGGATGAGCTGGAGATGTCTCTGCCTTGGTCCTTTCACTATTGGCTGCCACTTCCCGGCGGATGTCAGGTGGTGCAATACCGGCTAAGCAGTGTCATTTCTCCAGTGGTGTAGGGCAGACACCCCGTGATAATGCGGCATGTCTCATTAAGAGCCACATCCACTGTTTTAGTGTGGTGAGATGTGTTCCACACTGGGCATGCATACTCAGCAGCAGAGTAGCACAGCGCAAGGGCAGATGTCTTCACTGTATCTGGTTGTGATCCCCAGGTTGTGCCAGTCAGCTTTCGTATGATATTGTTTCTAGCACCCACTTTTTGCTTGATGTTCAGGCAGTGCTTCTTGTAGGTCAGAGCATGGTCCAGGGTGACTCCCAGGTATTTGGGTGCGCTGCAATGCTCCAGTGGGATTCTTTCCCAGGTGATCTTCAGAGCTCGGGATGCTCGTCTGTTCTTGAGATGGAAAGCACATGTCTGTGTTTTAGATTGATTAGGGATCAGCTGGTTTTCCCTGTAGTAGGCAGTAAGAGCACCTAGAGCTTCGGAGAGTTCTGTTCAACCATCTCAAAGCTCCCTCCTTGAGCGGTGATGGCATGATCGTCAGCATAGATGAAGCTCTTTGTCCCTTATGGCAGTGGCTGGTCATTTGTGTAGATGTTGAACATGGATGGAGCAAGGACGTTCTTCTTCAATGGTAATAATGATAATGTGTCCGACGTGGGCTCCAATACAACAACCAGCAGAGTGATCTTGTCTGCTGTGGACTCACCTTGTTGTGTTTCAAATAATAATAATAATAATAATAATAATAATAATAATAATAATAATCCCAATCATACTACAGCTGGACAACATCAAACATGAGCACGTGAAAACTGTGGTCAGCAAAGAATACATTCAAAGGGTCAGAAAAATTCTCCAAAGCAAGCTCAATGGAGGCAACACTATCAAGGCCATAAACACCTGAGCCATACCTGTCATAAGATATGCTGCTGGCATCATAAACTGGACACAGGCAGAACTGGACAATTTGGCCAGAAAAACTAGAAAACTCATGGCCATTCATCATTCATTACATCCTTGCAGTGATGTTGACCGGCTCTATCTGCCTAGAAAGCCTAGAGGACTTTTACAAGTCAAACAAGCCGTTGAAGAAGAAAAACACGCCTGGGCAGAATATGTCAAGGAAAGCCAAGAACCTGCTTTAATTGAAGCCAATAATCGGAAACTTCTCAAAGCACAGCAGACAAAGAGTCAGTACAAGAAAACTGCACTCCAAACCAGAGCTGACAGCTGGCACAACAAAACCTTGCATGGGCAGTTCCTTGAGAAGATTGAAGGAAAAGTTGACAAGGAGAAGACCTGGTGATGGCTCACGAAGGGAAGAAGGAGACAGAAGAAGGCCTGATTCTTGCAGCCCAGGAGCAAGCCAGCAGAACCAATGCAATTAAGGCCAGGATTGAAAAATCAGTGGATGACCCAAAATGCAGACTGTGCAAGGAAGTGGATGAAACCATGGACCGTCTCCTCAGCTGTTGCAAGAAAATCACACAGACTACAAACAGAGGCACAACTCTGTGGCCCAAATTGTGTCATCAGCAACCATATCATTGTATTACATTTCTAACAGAACAGAACAAATAAGCAGATAGAAAAACACAAATTTTGCAAACTTGGTAGCTGATTAAATGTCCTTTGACCAGTATCCGGCCTCTTGGAGTGCCTCTGATGTTGCTGCAAGGAGGTCCTCCATGGTGCATGTGGCAAGGCTCAGGTTGCATTACAGCAGGTGGTCAGTGGTTTGCTCTTCTCCACACTCGCATGTTGTGGATTCCACTTTGTGGCCCCATTTCTTGAGGTTGGCTCTGCATCTCGTGGTGCCAGAGCGCAGTCTGTTCAGCGCCTTTCAAGTCGCACAGTCTTCTGTGTGCCCAGGGGGGAGTCTCTCATTTGGTATTAGCCATTGGTTGAGGTGCTGGGTTTGAGCCTGCCACTTTTGGACTCTCACTTGCTGAGGTGTTCCAGTAAATCTAAGAAAACTATTTCTAGATTTAAGTCATTGACGTGCTGGCTGATACCCAAACAGGGGATGAGCTGGAGATGTCTCTGCCTTGGTCCTTTCACTATTGGCTGCTACTTCCCGGTGGATGTCAGGTGGTGCAATACCGGCTAAGCAGTGTAATTTCTCCAGTGGTGTAGGGCGCAGACACCCCGTGATAATGTGACATGTCTCATTAAGAGCCACATTCACTGTTCTAGCATGGTGAGATGTGTTCCACACTGGGCATGTGCGTACTCAGCAGCAGAGTAGCATAGCGCAAGGGCGGATGTCTCCACTGTGTCTGGTTGTGATCCCCAGGTTGTGCCAGTCAGCTTTCATATGAGATTGTTTCTAGCGCCCACTCTTTCTTGATGTTCAGGCCGTGCTTCTTGTAGGTCAGAGCACGGTCCAGAGTGACTCCCAGGTATTTGGGTGTGCTGCAATGCTCCAGTGGGATTCCTTCCCAGGACAAACTCAGAGCTCGGAATGCTTGTCTGTGGCCCAAATGATTCACTGGAACTTATGTCACAAGTACCACCTGCCAGCAGTAAAAAAACTGGTGGGATCATAAACCTGCAAAGGTTGTGGAAAATGAACATGCAAAAATACTGTGGGACTTTCGAATCCAGACTGACAAAGTTTTGGAACACAATACAACAGACATCACGATTGTGGAAAAGAAAAAAGTCTGGATTGCTGATGTCGCCATTCCAGGTGACACTCGCATTGAGGAAAAACAACAGGAAAAACTCATGTTCAGGACTTCAAAATCAAACTGCAAAGGTTGTGGCATAAACCAGTCCAGGTGGTCCCAGTGGTCATTGGCGCACTGGGTGCCGTGCCAAAAGATCTTAGCCGGCATTTGGAAACAATGAACATCGACAAAATCACAATCTGTCAATTGCAAAAGGCCACCTGACTTGGATCTGTGCGCATCATTCGAAAATACATCACACAGTCCTAGATGCTTGGGAAGTGTTCGACTTGTGATTTTATGATATGAAATCCAGCGTAGAGATCTCGTTTGCTGTGACATACTGTGTTTTTGTGTCAGTAAAAGAACAATAACAATACTAATAATAATGTCCCTTGGAGTCTTGTTGAACATTAGAATTCGGTAATGGTAACAACAACAACAACAACAACAACAACAACAACAACAACAACCTTTGATGATGCAGAGGCTGGATGGCCATCTGTCAGGAGGGCTTTGATGGAGTCTTCCTGCCTGGCAGAATAGGGTTGGACTGAATGTCCCTTGGGGTCTTGTTGAACATTAGAATTCAGTAATGGTAATAACAACAACAACCTTTGATGATGCAGAGGCTGGATGGCCATCTGTCAGGAGGGCTTTGATGGTGTCTTCCTGCTTGGCAGAATAGGGTTGGACTGGATGGTCCTCGGGGTCTTTTCCAACTCTAAGATTCAATAATCATAATAATATCAATAATATTTTATAATAATGATGGTGGTGGTGTGAGTCTCCTCTGGATGTTTTTAAGCAGAGGCTGGGTGGCCATCTGTCGGGAGGGCTTTAATGGTGTCTTCCTGCCTGGCAGAATAGGGTTGGACTGGATGGTCCTTGGGGTCTTTTCCAACTCTAAGATTCTACAATCATAATAATACCAATAATAAGTCTATAATCACAATAATATCAATAATAATGGCCATCTGTTGGGAGGACTTTGATGGTGTTTTCCTGCCTGGCAGAATAGGGTTGGACTGAATGTCCCTTGGGGTCTTGTTGAACATTAGAATTCAGTAATGGTAATAACAACAACCACCTTTGATGATGCAGAGGCTGGATGGCCATCTGTCAGGAGGGCTTTGATGGTGTCTTCCTGCCTGGCAGAATAGGGTTTGACTGAATGTCCCTTGGGGTCTTGTTGAACATTAGTATTCAGTAATGGTAACAACAATAACAACAAAAACAACAACAACAACCTTTGATGGTGCAGAGGCTGGATGGCCATCTGTCAGGAGGGCTTTGATGGTGTCTTCCTGCCTGGCAGAATAGGGTTGGACTGAATGTTCCTTGGGGTCTTGTTGAACATTAGAATTCAGTAATGGTAACAACAACAACAACAACAACAACAACAGCCACCACCACCTTTGATGATGCAGAGGCTGGATGGCCATCTGTCAGGAGGGCTTTGATGGTGTCTTCCTGCCTGGCAGAATAGGGTTGGACTGAATGTCCCTTGGGGTCTTGTTGAACATTAGAATTCAGTGTTAATGGTAACAACAACAACAACAACAACAACCTTTGATGATGCAGAGGCTGGATGGCCATCTGTCAGGAGGGCTTTGGTGGTGTCTTCCTGCCTGGCAGAATAGGGTTGGACTGGATGGTCCTCAGGGTTTTTTTCCAACTCTAAGATTCTATAATCACAATAATATCAATAATAAGAGTCTATAATCACAATAATTTCAATAATAATGGCCATCTGTTGGGAGGACTTTGATGGTGTTATCCTGCCTGGCAGAATAGGGTTGGACTGAATGTCCCTTGGGGTCTTGCTGAACATTAGAATTCAGTAATGGTAACAACAACAACAACCACCACCACCACCACCACCACCACCACCACCTTTGATGATGCAGAGGCGGATGGCCATCTGTCATCAGGGCTTTGATGGTGTCTTCCTGCCTGGCACAATAGGGTTGGACTGGATGGTCTTTGGGGTCTTCTCCAACTCTAAGATTTAATAATCATAATAATATCAATAATATTTTATAATAATGATGGTGGTGGTGTGAGTCTCCTCTGGATGTTTTTAAGCAGAGGCTGAGTGACCATCTGTTGGGAGGGCTTTAATGGTGTCTTCCTGCCTGGCAGAATAGGGTTGGATTGGATGATCCTCGGGGTCTTTTCCAACTCTAAGATTCAATAATCATAATAATATCAATAATATTTTATAATAATAATGATGGTGGTGGTGTGAGTCTCTTCTGGATGTTTTTAAGCAGAGGCTGAGTGGCCATCTGTCGGGAGGGCTTTAATGATGTCTTCCTGCCTGGCAGAATAAGGTTGGACTGGATGGCCTTTGGGGTCCCTTCCAACTCTAGGACTCTATGATTCAATGCTTGAAAGTGGAGGCAGAGAATGGGCAAAGCAAACAGAATAATGCAATGGATCTAATAGGGAACAAGGACAGAAGAATGGAGGGAATCCCCAAACGCAAGGTAAGGATCCCCATTCCAATCAACTCTCTCCCACTCCAGGTTTGCTACCAGCTTCTCCTACTATGGCTTGGCCATGGACCTGCAAAACTTTGGCTTCGACATCTATCTGACCCAGCTGGTCTTTGGGGCCGTCGACATCCCGGCAAAGTTCATTTCGGTGATGACCATCATGTTTGTGGGCCGACGGTTCTCCCAGTCCATGTCTCTGATCCTGGCTGGGTTGTGCATCTTGGCCAACATTTTTGTGCCGCAAGGTGAGGAGGGCTCCAATGGGTTGCAAGGGAGGCCAGGAGGAGAACTTGGTCCTTCTGGATGGCGCCGTCTTCCAACTCTAGGACCTTATCAGGGGCGGCTCGTCCATTACGCGAAGTAAGCGGTCGTAGAACACTTTTTTTGCCAGGGGTGCAGAGGCGCCTCTGCAAATGTCCCTCGACCGCCACTTAGGAGCGTCCCCTCAGCTCACAACAGCTCTAGCAGTCCGGGGGGAGCCTCGGCTTTCTTGCCTCGCTGCTGGGCAATCCTCTTCCCAAAGGGGCCGGGCCCTTGAGCCTCGCCTAGCCCCTCCACCTGGCCACCGGGTGCGCGAGCAGAGCCGGCGCTCAATCATTCTCTGCGTTCGATCCCTTCCCCATGACCGGCTCCCTTTCCCGATCCCATGTCCCCACCCGCCTCCTCTCCTCTCCCCAATCCGCGGGTGGCAAGGGGTGGAGCCGCCGTGCCTGGCCTGCTTCGGGTCCGGAGGCATGTCTGAAGACCCCAGCGTGCGGACCAAAAGTCGCCTCTTCTCCTGACTTTCTCTTCAGCCATTGGGACCAAGAGAGAGAGAGAGAGAGAGAGAGAGGGGAGGTATCTCCCACCTCCGCTCCCTCCTTTGTTTTTGCGCCTACCTTCAGGAAAGGTGGGCATCTCCACCTCTCTCTCTCTCTTGGTCCCAATGGCTGAGGAGAAAGTCAGGAGAAGAGGTGACTTTTGGTGCACACGCCGGGGTCTTCAGGCACGCCTCCGGACCCAAAGCGGGCCAGGCAAGGGAGAAAGTGCGGCAAGTGTAGTTACTGGGCTGTATAGTTCACCTACAATCAAAGAGCATTCTGAACTCCACCAATGATGGAATTGAACCAAATATGGCACACAGAACTCCCACGACGAACAGAAAATATATATCTATGATTGGTTGGGGGGGGGGCAGCAAAATACGGTTTGCTTACCGTTGAAAATTACCTAGGGCCGCCTCTGGACCTTATTTGCATCCAAAGGACAAGGACACATTCTGCATTGTGGTTTCCCTTTTCCTTCCTCAGATCTGAGCAACCTACGCATGGCATTTGCAGTGATCGGGAAAGGCTCCTTAGCAGCCTCCTTCAACTGTGCCTATATTTTCTCCGGGGAGCTTTTCCCAACGGTGATCAGGTAGGTAAATGGAAGGCAGCCCAACCTTTGGGTACATAATATGCCCAAATATTGTTGTCAAGCTATTTAGAGCTGTGGATAGCCTATATTAGGCTGTGGATAGAGAGATCCAAACCAATGTGGGTTGCCTGGTGATAGGCCTGTAGCCACAATTTTGATTCGGGAAGGGGGGGGGGCTGAGTTTGATGGGGGGGGGGGGGCTCAGGATCTACCCTTGCACACCTTTTGTATCATTATCCCAATATCCCCATGCATATGGGATATATTGAGCATAGTGATCAGATCATGATATGAATAAACATAACAGTTTAAATAATGTACCAGTAAGGCCTTCTCGCGGACCACCCTGAGAATTTGGGGGGGGGGTAGTGAAGCACCTCAAGAACCCCTGCCCCCCGGCTACGGACCTGCCTGGTGAGAAAAGAAGCCCGTATTCCAGAATAAATCCCACCAAGTTGAAAGGATGGTGATGATTGCAGTAGCCTGCCAACAAAATCGACATGCCCACTGGGAAGAGAAATACAAAATATATAGCCTTCAGATTCAAAAGTTCCCATGCCCACCTCCCCTCACCTAGCTTTGTTATGATTGGCTGTGACATCGGCAAGCCGGCAGGAGATCCAATGAGGGCTCTGGCCCTGCTTTTGGCCACTCATCCAATGAGGTGGAAGGGAGGCAGGCAACAAGGAAGCAATGAAGAGATGTCTAGTTGACTGGATTAAGGTGACGATTGCAGTAGCCTGCCAACAAAATCGACATGCCCACTGGGAAGAGAAATACAAAATATATAGCCTTCAGATTCAAAAGTTCCCATGCCCACCTCCCCTGAGCTAGCTTTGTTATGATTGGCTGTGACATCAGAAAGCCGGCAGGAGATCCAATGAGGACTCTTGCCCTGCTTTTGGCCACTCATCCAAAGAGATGGAAGGGAGGCAGGCAACGAGGAAACAATGAAGAGATGTCTAGTTGTGTCAGCTCCACTGGCTGCCGATCCAGTTCCGAGCACAATTCAAACTGCTGGTTTTGACCTACAAAACCCTATACAGTTCCGGCCCAGTGTATCTGTCCGAACGAATCTCCTTCTACGTCCCACCCCGGAATCTAAGATCTTCTGGGGAGGCCCTGCTCTCGACCCCGCCTCTATCACAAGTGAGGTTGGCGGGAATGAGGAGCAGGGCCTTCTCGGTGGTGGCCCCCTGCCTATGGAATTCCCTCCCCTGGGATATTAGATCAGCAACATCACTCCTTTCCTTTAGGAAAAAAACCTGAAAACATGGATTTGGGACCATGCATTCGGACAATCGGGCAGATAAAGAAAGGACTTTGACAATGATCAGGAAATAATGGAATGGAACTATGGAACTCTGAAAGACGAAATGCTGAACATGGGAATAGTTTTATATGATGTGTTATATACTGATTATTTTGATTGTTTTAACTGTTGTTTTGTACATTTTGTGTAATTTGTATAGGCATTGAATTGTGCCTTTTTGTAAGCCACCCTGAGTCCCCCCTCGGGGGTTGAGAAGGGCGGGGAAAAGTACCTGAAATAAATAAATAAAATAATAGTTGACTGGATTAAGGTGACCAATGTTTGCCCAATGATCCAGAGATAGCTTAGGCTCTCAAGCCGAATCTAAGTTATTGTCTCAATCTTTTGAATCAGCATCTTTGTCTAGCCCCGAGCGGCCAGGTCTTTTGTTTTGTCTTGCTGTAATATGGAGTTCATGGTTGGAGTAGAAACTTGGTTCTGGATCAGGATGTGACACAGTGGGGAGAGCGTGATCGAGGTGAGCGAGGCCTCGCGCGAGGCGACCTGTGCTCCTGCCGGCCGGCGGGAGCGTGATCTAGGCGAGGGAGACCTCGCGCAAGGTGGAGGCGCGGACCTGGAAAGCCTGGCTGTTTCCCTGGCACAGGAGCCGGCAGCCATTTTGAGGAGGCGGAGGGGGCGGGGCCAACTGAGGCACCTTCACAACCCCCAGAAAATGGCCCAGCGACCCCCCAGGGGGTCGCGACCCCCAGATTGAGAACTGCTGCCCTAGGAGGACAAACAAAGGGAAGTTCTCACCTCTTAGAAGGCAGGATCATCAATTTTGCAGACGACACCAAATTGGGAGGGATAGCATACTCCAGAGACAGGAGCAGGATTCAAAACGATCTTGACAGATTAGAGAAATGGGCCAAAACTAACAAAATGAAGTTCAACAGGGACAAATGCAAGATACTCCACTTTGGCAGAAAAACGAAATGCAAAGATACAGAATTGGGGACAATGCCTGGCTCGAGAGCAGTACGTGTGAAAAAGATCTTGGAGTCCTCGTGGACAGCAAGTTAAACATGAGCCAACAATGTGATGTGGCGGCAAAAAAAGCCAATGGGATTTTGGCCTGCATCAATAGGAGCATAGTATCTAGGGAAGTCATGCTACCCCTCTATTCTGGTTAGACCACACCTGGAATATTGTGTCCAATTCTGGGCACCACAATTCAAGAGAGATATTGACAAGCTGGAATGTGTCCAGAGGAGGGCCACTAAAACGATCAAGGGTCTGGAGAACAAGCCCTATGAGGAGCGGCTTAAGGAGCTGGGCATGTTTAGCCTGAAGAAGAGAAGGCTGAGAGGAGATATGATAGCCATGTATAAATATGTGAGAGGAAGCCACAGGGAGGAGGGAGCAAGCTTGTTTTCTTCTTCCTTGGAGACTAGGACGCAATGGAGCAATGGCTTCAAACTCCAAGAGAGGAGATTCCATCCGAAAATGAGGAAGAACTTCCTGACTGTGAGAGCCGTTCAGCAGTGGAACTCTCTGCCCTGGAGTGTGGTGGAGGCTCCTTCTTTGGAAGCTTTTAAAAAGAGGCTGGATGGCCATCTGTCAGGGGTGATTTGAATGCAATATTCCTGCTTCTTGGCAGAATGGGGTTGGACTGGATGGCCCATGAGGTCTCTTCCAACTCTTTGATTCTATGATTCTATGATTCTAAGAACTTCCTGACTGTGAGAGAGCCGTTCAGCAGTGGAACTCTCTGCCCCGGAGTGTGGTGGAGGCTCCTTCTTTGGAAGCTTTTAAACAGAGGCTGGATGGCCATCTGTCAGGGGTGATTTGAATGCAATATTCCTGCTTCTTGGCAGAATGGGGTTGGACTGGATGGCCCATGAGGTCTCTTCCAACTCTTTGATTCTATGATTCTATGATTGATTCTATGACTCTGCCCATTTCCCTTCTAGGCAATCAGGGATGGGCCTGGGGGGCACTATGGCCCGCGTGGGCAGCATGATAGCCCCTTTGGTGAAGATGACCGGGGAGTTTTACCCACCATTGCCACTGATCATCTACGGAGCAGCGCCTATTATTTCGGGCACCGTCACCTGTTTCCTTCCAGAGACTCGGAACGTCCCTTTGCCAGAGACTATTGAACAAGTGGAAAGACGGTGAGTTCCAAAGCAGTTCTCTTGACTTGACTGTCTTTGGTTGTATCTATTTATTATTTATTAACCTTATTTATACCCCGCTAACATCTCCCGAAGGACTTACAAAAGGCCAAGGCCCTCAATAAAACAACATCATAACAAATACAACAATAAAACTCATAAAGCAAAACAATAAACATTAGAACAATAACACCATGACGCTTTTAAAACTAAAGGCCGGGCCAAATGTAATGAATAAAATTTTAAAGTGCTGGACATGACAGGCGAAATGTATAGGTTTTTAGAGGTAGGTGCGGTGTGCAGTAGGCTTGGGCGATCCAGTTCGTTAATTTCGTAATTCGTTATTAATTCGTATTTAAATTAGCTTACGATCCAATATCGAGCCATGCAGGAATAGTGTGAGGAGTAATTAAGAATCGAAACAATTTTTCCCATTTTTGTAATTATTTTCGTAATTTCGTAATTATATTTTATAATATACAATTATAATATATAATATAATATAATAATATAATAATAATATAATATACATTATATATTATAGTATATTACATTATATTATTATAATACTATTATATTATAGTATTGTATATTATATTATTATATTATATATTATATTACTATATTATTATTTTATTATATTATAATTGTATATTATAATATAATATATGTAATATATTATAATATAATGTAATATAATACAATATACAATAATATAATATAATAATATTATAATATAATATACAACAATATAATATAATCATACTATAATAATAATATAATGTCATATAATATAATATAGTTGTTGTTTGTTTTATCACACCAACAGTCAACAACAGAGGGAGAGGGATGTTTCAGAAGTTCCCCCTGTCCCGTTTGGAGGTTTTTTTTTAGCATATTGCGCAATCGCGTCCATTAACGAATCGATTCGTAATTTTACGAAATTTCGTATATTTTGAAATTTTTTAAAGTAAAATTTCGGAATTTTTAAAAAAAACGAAATACAAGGGCCCCCTAAAAACGAAACGAGTTTAGAACCAATTTTTTCCGTGGTTACCCAAGCCTAGTGTGCAGACAATCTTAGGTCTCTAATAAAGTGCGTTTGGGACATGATGCCAGGAGTTTCCTATTCTGGAAAGGCACACTGGAACAGCCACGTCTTCAAGCTCTTCCTAAAGACTGCCAATGTTGTGGCTTGTCTGATGTCCTTGGGGAGAGAGTTCCAGAGTCGGGGGGCTACCACAGAGAAGGCCCTTTCCCTCGTCCCCACCAAATGCGCTTGTGACACAGGTGGGATCATGAGCAGGGCCTCTCCAGATGATCAGAGAGAGCGTGTGGGTTCATATACGGACACAGTGAATCGCAGCGCTTTCTGGACCATCCTCCAAAAAATCGGGTGCCCTAACAAATTTGTGAACATCCTGCGGCTCTTCCATGATGATATGATGGCAGCAGTCTTCGACAGCAATGGCTCCCAAAGTGACCCATTTAAAGTGGAACCGGGTGTCAAACAGGGATGTGTTATTGCCCCAACTCTATTCTCCATCTTCATCGCTATGATACTTCATCTTGTTGATGGGAAGCTTCCCACCGGAGTGGAAATCATCTATCAGACAGAAGGCAAGCTATTCAACCTCAGCAACCAAAGTTACAACAACATCTGTTATAGAACTCCAGTATACTGATGACAATATCGTCTGTGCGCATACAGAAGAAGATCTACAAGCCACTCTAAACACCTTCGCAGAAGCATACACAAAGCTTGGCCTGTCACTGAACATCGAGAAAACCAAAGTGCTGTTCCAGCAGTCACCAGCCACCTCTCCAATGCCAGAGATACAGCTTAATGGTGTAACATTAGAAAATGTTGACCATTTCCGCTACCTTGGCAGCCACCTCTCCACCAAAGTCAACATCGACGCCGAAATACAACACCGCCTGAGCTCTGTGAGTGCAGCATTTTTCCGAATGAAGCAGAGAGTGTTTGAGGACCGGGACATCCGTAGGGATACCAAGGTGCTTGTTTATAAAGCTATTGTCCTCCCAACCCTGCTATATGCCTGTGAGACGTGGACTGTCTACAGACGTCACATGCAACTCCTGGAACGATTCCATCAGCGCTGCCTCCGGAAAATCCTGCAAATCTCTTGGGAAGACAAGCAGACAAACGTCAGCGTGCTGGAAGAAGCAAAGACCACCAGCATTGAAGCGATGGTCCTCCAGCATCAACTCCGCTGGACCGGCCACGTTGTTCGGATGCCTGACCACCGTCTCCCAAAGCAGTTGCTCTACTCTGAACTTAAGAACGGAAAACAGAATATTGGTGGACAGGAAAAGAGATTTAAAGATGGTCTCAAGGCCAACCTTAAAAACTCTAGCATAGACACTGAGAACTGGGAAGCCCTGGCCCTTGAGTGCTCCAGCTGGAGGTCAGCTGTGACCAGCAGTGCTGCAGAATTTGAGGAGGCACGAGTGGAGGGTGAAAGAGAGAAACGTGCCAGGAGGAAGGCGCGTCAAGCCAACCCCGACCGGGACCGCCTTCCACTGGAAACCAATGCCCTTACTGTGGGAGACGATGCAGATCAAGAATAGGGCTCCACAGCCACATGCGGACCCACAAGGAAACCCATAATGGAAGACCATCTTACTCGTCCAACGAGGGATCGCCTAAGTAAGTAAAGTCATATACGGAGATGTGTTCACGCAGGTAGGCGGGTCCCAAACCATTTAGGGCTTTGTAGGTAAGCACCTGCACCTTGAATTGGGACCGGAAGATGAACGGCAGCCAATGGAGCTCCTTAAACAGGAGGGTTGACCTCTCTCTGTAAGGAGCACCAGTTAACAACCTGGACCAGTTGGAATTTCCGGGCTGTTTTCAAGGGCAACCCCACGTAGAGCGCATTGCAGTACTCCAATCTGGAGGTGACCAAGGCATGGACCACCCCAGCCAGATCAGCCTTTACGAGGTACGGTCGCAGTTGGCGCACGAGTCTCAATTGTGCGAAAGCTCTCCCGGCCACCACCGACGCCTGAGCCTGAAACATAAGTGATGAGTCCAAACTCCGGACCTGTGACTTCAGGGGGAGTGTAACCCCATCCAGCACAGGTTGCCACCCTATACCCCGATCCGGTTTACAATCGACCAGAAGGACACTGTCAAATTAATGTGGTTTGGCACCACTTTATGTGTCGTAGTTTTGGGATCCAGGCTGTGGTTTTACAAAGTTCACTTCACTTTATTTCTCAATTAGTCACTCTCCACCAAGGTGCTCCGAGCGACTTACAATCTAAAAATAGCATTTACACAATATAAAAACATTCAACATAAAAACATTCAACAGTGACAATTTGGCAAATTAGATCTGATTACTTAAATGCACAACCAAACAGCCAAGTCTTGAGTGCCTTTACAAAAGGTCGCAACTCCGACATTGCTCTAATGTATGGAGTTCCACAGAATCGGAGCATAGGTCGAAAAAGCTCTACGCCTTGTCGCTTCCAGGTGTATCTCCCTAGGGCAGTGGTTCTCAACCTTTCTAATGCCGTGACCCCTAAATAAAATTCCTCATGCTGTGGTGACCCCCAACCATATTTTCGTTGCTACTCATAACTGTAATTTTGCTACTGTTATGAATTGTAATGTAAATATCTGATATTCTGGATGTATTTTCATTGGTAGAAATAGAACATAATTAAAGCATAGTGATTAATCACAAAAACAATATGTTTGTGGGAGTATGGACAAGGGATGGTGGGATCTGCAGTACCTTCAGTTGGTTTACCTCTGACATCCACAGTCCACTGTGACTCCCACGAATTACAGACCTGGACCAAACTTGGCACACAGAACCCCAATAACCAACAAAAAAAATATGGAGGGGATTGGGAGGAATTGACAGTGATTTATGGAAGATGTACATCCGGAGAGCACTGTGAACCCAAATGACTATGGATCTGGACCAAACTTGGCACAAATATTCAGTATGCCCAAAATTGAACACTGGTGGAGTTTGGGAAAAATAGATCAAGACATTTGGGAGTTGCAGTTACTGGGATGTATACTTTCCCTGCCATCAAAGAGCATTCTGAACTCAAACAGAAATGGAATTAAACCAAACTTGGCATACAGAAATCCCATGCCTAACAGAAAATACCAAAGAGGTTTGGGGAAAATAGACCTTGGCTTTTGGGAGTTCTGGGGATATATAGTTTCCCTGCCATTAAAGAGCATTCTGAACTCAAACAGAAATGGAATTAAACCAAACTTGGCATTCAGCCTCAACAACAACAACAACAAAAACGAGCTGGGAGAAACCCCTTGGGCCACCTAGTCCAACTCCCTTCTGCCTTCATGCATGAAAAGCACAATCAAAGCACCCACGACAGATGACCACTAGGCCTGTGCGATTCGTTTCGTTAATTCGTTAATTCGTTAATAATTCGTTAATTTTACCATTTCCGAAGCGATATTGAAACAAATCTCCAAACCCGGAAGGGTTTTTAAATATTGAACCAGCAGCCCCCATAGTATTTACGAGCCTCCGCTCGTTTCGTTAATGGGGTGGAGGCTGCTGGAGTGCTGGTGCATGGGAGCCAATCCGGCGCTCCCAAACAGTGCACCATGGGTCCGTGGCTGTCCCTTTTTGATTGGCCGGCGAGCCCTTTCAAAGCGGCTCCGCGCGGCCCGTAGCTTGGTGCAGAGGCGAGGGCGAGGGAGTTTGCATTGGGTTGGCTTGGCAATGGCTGCCTGCTAGCAACGAACTGGGATTGGATTCATTCCTTGCTGCTGTGAGTGCTGCTTGCTTCATTTGCTGTCTCTTGCCTGTGTTTGGTCCACATTTGGGCCATTTTTTGGTTAATTTTCCATTTTAAAATATTTTTAATATTATTTTTAATATTATTTTTAATATTATTTTTAATATTATTTTTAATATTATTTTTTAATATTATTCTTAAAAAATATTCTAAAAAAGAAAAGACTCTTCTGTTGGTGTGTGCTCTCATTTGCTGTATCTGCCTGTGTTTGGTCCACATTTGGGCCATTTTTTGGTTAATTTTCCATTTTAAAATATTTTTAAATATTATTTTAATATTATTTTTAATATTATTTTAATATTATTTTTAAAAAATATTCTAAAAAAGAAAAGACTCTTCTGTTGGTGTGTGCTCTCATTTGCTGTATCGTGCCTGTGTTTGGTCCACATTTGGGCCATTTTTTGGTTAATTTTCCATTTTAAAATATTTTTTAATATTATTTTAATATTATTCTTAAGAAATACAAAAAATATTCTAAAAATTCGTTAATATTTACAAAATTTCTTAAATACCAAAACTTTTTTTTTGGAAAGTTTTGTAATTATTTTAAATATCGAAACAAAAAAACACCCCAATTACAAATCGATTTTAGAAACAAATTTTTTCTTGATCAAACAGGCCTAATGACCACCCATAGATAATAACAAAAACAACAGATTTAGAAGGGACCTCTAAAGGCCATATAGTCCAACCTCCTTCATTCTACTTTCATGGAGGGAAAGCACAATCAAAGCACCCTTGACAGATGGCCATCCAGCCTTAATAATACAACAACAACAACAACAACAACAACAACAACAACAACAACAACAATAATAATGAGAGTTTTCACCTCTTGGCCCAGGAAGTCAGGCAGACGGGAAGGCAGGCAGGCAGGTCGCTGAGCTGAGGTCCTCCTTCACTGCACTCCGTTGGGGCCCAGCTGGGCCCAGGAAGGACAGAAGCAGCGTGAGGAAGGAGCCTGCTTCTGGCAAAGCTGCTTCAGCCCACATGGCTGCCTCCGGCCTCACAGCCAGCCATGCTCCCAGGCAGGGCTTGGGCCCTGCCGGGAGCATTTTGGCCAGCTGGCGCTTCCCCCCGAGCCCGGCGGGAAGCGCGGGGAGGCCAAATCCCGCTCCCAGGCAGGGCTTGGGCCCTGCCGGGAGCATTTTGGCCAGCTGGCGCTTCCCGCCGGGCTCGGGGGGAGGCGCGAGGAGGCCAAGCCGTGCTCCCAGGCAGGCCCTGGGCCCTGCGGGGAGCATTTTGGCCTCCTCGCGCTTCCCGCCGGGCTCGGGGGGAGGCGCGGGAAACGTGAGCCATCCACCCTGTGGGGAGCCATTTTGATGAGGGGGCGGGGCCAACGGAGACTGCCTCGCGACCCCTCGAAAATGGCCAGGCGACCCCCCGGGGGGTCGCGACCCCCAGGTTGAGAACCGCTGCCCTAGGGTATGTAAAGTGATTTGTCTTCTGTCAAAGGCAAACAATACTTCTTGTGATTCCAAAGCATTGCGCCATGGCAGATAAACAAGCTGTTATAAAACCGCTGTTGAAAAAGCCATCATTGGACCCCACTCAATTTGACAACTATCGGCCAGTTTCCAATCTCCCCTATTTGGGCAAAGTCGTGGAACGTGTGGTGGCAACACAACTCCAGGGATTTCTGGTAGACACTGATTACACTGTTCAACGGAGAAAAAGTTGCAGGCCTGAAAATAGTTGTTCTTTTATGATTTTGGGGTGCTGAAAACGAAAATGACATTTAAAAATCTATATTGGCGCTAGTTTTTATGATATAAGCAATCACGTGATCACATATGTTTGAAAAAATCATGTTGTGACTTACACTATGGAAGATTCTAGAAAGTTGAGGGCCTGAAAATAACTGTTCTTTTATGATTTTGGGGTGCTGAAAATGAAAATGATATTTAAAAATATATATTGGCTCTAGTTTTTATGATATAAGCAATCACGGGATCACGAATGGTTGAAAAAATGCATGTTGCGACTTACACTATGGAAGATTCTAGAATACTCTAGATGACGCAGTATTAGTGTTGTGTGCAAAAGCCAGAAAACCCTCTATAAGGCCAGACTTCTGAACGGTGAGGGTCAGTCAGTTGAAGACTGAGACAGTATCGTTAAACATCGTTTTATATTGTTCTTTTTACTGTAGTGATGCCTCACACGTGTGTAAATAAAGCACTATGGAAAAAAGAGATCAAGGCCAATGGACTCCGTCAATGCTGTCAGACTCCTGCTGGAGCATTGTAAGAGACAATCCTTTCCTTGAATACAAAAGAGAAGTCAAGAGAAGCAAACAGGATATAAACTAAAGTCACGATTAAAGCGACATTTAAACTTTCAGACTTTTCAACTGCATTAGGCCTACTAATATAGTTTCTTGCTGCACAAACATAAACAATAGACTAATTAAATAAATATTTCTCATGTATAAACTATTGGCAATATAATTTGACTAAAATTTAATAAATATTCACGGTTTATATACATGCAGTAAGGTTAGGCGCATTATCATAATATTAACGAATTACCTATTGTGGAGAAAATTGAAATAGCTGTTGCATAAAAACCAGAGCCAATTAACACATTTAATTATTATATTTGAATTCAATCTTAAATTTATTAAGAAACGGCACATTTTGTTTCCGCAACTGAGAAAAACTGAAAATTTGTAGAACAGTGTTATCTAGATCCAGCACAGTCTGGTTTTAGGCCGGGACATGGAACTGAGACAACCTTGGTCGCCTTGGTAGATGATCTTCGCTGGGAGCTTGACAGTGGGAGTGTGTCTGTGGTATCATGCTTAATCCTGCCTTTTTACCCTGTTAGTTCTGCTGGACCTCTCAGCAGCCTTCGATACCGTCGACCACGGTATCCTTCTGGGACACCTTGAAGACATGGGACTTGGGGGTACTGTTTTGCAGTGGCTCCGGTCCTTTCTTGAGGGACGTTCCCAGAAGGTGTTACTGGGTGACACCTGTTCGGCCCCACAACCATTGTTAAACAACCACAGGGATCAATTCTGTCCCCGATGTTGTTTAACATCTACATGAAGCCGCTGGGGGAGATCATCCGGAGTTTCGGACTAAGGTGTTATCTCTATGCAGATGATGTCTAAATCTGTGAGAGAAAAGCAGTTAGGAAAATGGAGCTTAAGTTTTAAGGAAAATAAAGAAGTGCCAGTGTGGTTTAAGGCGGAATATAGTTCTGTGAAGAATGTATGAAAAAGTAACATATTTGTTGATGTGAAACAGTTGAAGTTTGATAAGAAAAGTTGACCAAGTCAATGATATTGCATGTAAGACTCAAGACTGTAACAGAACACACTAATGTAACCATAAGCGTTGGAGCCAGAAGCTATAAATAAACTTTGTTACTTCATTTACTACAAGAGTGTCTCAAGCCTGTAATATAAAAGCCTCAAGGAAAAAGCTCACAAGAAAGCCCCAGCCAATTTTAAAAAGGGAAAATACATCAATACAGTAAAAAGATTTAAAAGATTTAAAAGATTTAAAAGAAAAAAATTCCCCCCCATATCGTCACACATATAAAGACACCTGAAAAGGACAGAAGTAGCGAAAGGTTGTCACAGTTACCTTCTGCTGTAAACATATGAAAATAGGGTATAAAGCCTTGATTAAATGTTACACACCAAACTGACCAAGGCTTAACCCTTATTATCCAGCCTGGTGTCCTTGCCCTTAGCAAAACTATAAGTTACTATCTCTTATTGGGGGGGGGGGGGTCATGTTCGACTTCAATAATATGGGGAAACATGGCTTCCATAATAATTACTGCTCTTGAATGATTCTTTTAAAGGTCAAAGCCCAGCCAAGCGGATGAGCAGCAAATGAAGGTGCTCCTTGCCTCCCCAAAACCAGATCCCAGCAACGATGGCAGTTGAAGGGGGGAAACACAACTCCTTGGGTCCCATCTGAACTCAACCACATGAACTGAACTTCCTTCAGACTTAAACAGTTCCTTCTCCGGGGTCACTAAGAAGATGTCACCCTGAAAGAAGATGACTGATCTATGCTGATTCGCGGGAAACATGCCAAAACTAATTTATTGAAGCTGTTTATTTAAATCAGCAGAGGAAATCTTAGAGGGGTTGCCAATTAGTTGCTACTTTGTGTATTAATAGACGGCGCGAGTGGCGCCACCTATGTGTAGAACTGTTAGTTGCAAGATTTAAACTGTGGTATCATGCTTAATCCTGCCTTTTTACCCTGCTTATGTATAGTTGGATTGATTGGTTATTTATAGCTGTCAATCAGTGTTGTTTGCACCAGCTGAATTGCTTTCTCAAGCTCAGTTGTTTGGCTCCACCTCTTCCTGGAGGAGGGGAGTGCTTCCCTTTTTCATTCTGCCATCAGAGTTTCTATCGGATTCCATAAGTTGCTGGTTTCATAATACTCTTACTCACGTCAATGAGTAAGAGACTTGGCTCTAAAAGCCCCTGCTTAAATTACCTCTCAGCACCAATTCTAAGGTTTTTTACCCTTGGGACTCATGCTTTATGTCCAGATCGTCCTGGACAACATTGAGGAGACCCAAGCGCCTTCAAACCGGTTCTTTTGGCACCAGAGGAAGGTCTTGTCCCTTCAACATAGGCCATTGGACTGGGGTTGTGTTTATTCCGATATTCACAGCCATTGAGGAAAGAGGAAACAGGAAAAGCTTCTCAGCTGCAAACTCCTTGGACTTCAGAGATTGTAAAGTATATTTCCTTTATCCCTGTTGAAACATCAGGCTTATGCCTGAGAAAGATAACTCATTGTGAGTACCATTTCGAGTTATCTGTTGTGTTTTGGTCTTTGGGAGTTCCAGTGTCCTATAGGAGGGCAAGAAGCAATCCCCTGGGGAAAGATGCCACGTCCATGCCTCTTTCACTAAGAGTTATAGCCTCCAGGCACGACGGCACAGTGTATACTGAAGTTTGCAAAACATCGTACACATTTGTTATTATTATATGGCCATGCTGTTTACAACTCATTGTATGCTTTTGTTGTATGTCACCAATAAAGGTTGACATTCTGCTGCAGAGCATAATAAATGCATTCGCCTTGTAAAATGACCATTTACAACCCAAGAACAACAATCGTGTTACACAGTGTAATTAGAGTGGTATCAAACAACTACTAATTGACAAATAGGGCAAAAGGTAACGTAAATAAGGACTATTATTATTCATTGGCACATGGGACTGAAGCTTGCAATTGTATCTACATTGCTAAATGATAGAGTTTGAACTAGTGAGCTCCTTTAAAGTTCAGATTAGATCCCAAAGCGGATTCAATGCCCAATATTAATAATAATAATAATCATCATCATCATCATTATCATCATCTTTATTTATACCCCTCTACCATCTCCCCAATGGGGACTCGGAGCGGCTTTTTTTTCCCCCTTGGGGACTTTTTTATTATTATTATTTTGATACATCCCAACAATCAATAAAACTTTTGCCATACAGGGCTTATTTCAATAAACATTATTCCAAGAGTAAATATTCCTTAACTGACATTCTATACATTCCTTAGTTATGTATCACCCAACAACCCCCCCCCTCCTCCCCATTCCCTCCACCCCCCTGGAACAGCAATTCTAAATCATGTCATTACATCAATTTAACCGTGTGGAAAGCCTGGTTCAAAATACTGTATTTGTCGTCTCCGTCTATTTTGTCAATTAACACAGACCATTTCCTAAACCAGTCTTGTTCTCTTTGACTATTTATATACTTGTTTTTCCTTTGATTGATAAAATCATTAATTATATATTCTGATAGATAGGCCCACCAGGTTTCCAAATCCCATTTTGTGTCGTCTATCCATCCCCGGGCTATTGTTGCCTGTATTGCGGCTGTCATATATTTTAGGATTTCTGTCCAATTATTGTTATCTTCCTTTGCCTTTATGGTGAGGGACATGAACCTGGCTTTATCCCACATTAATTCTTTCCCTATTATGTCTTCCATTACAGTCCTTATTATGCCATAATAGTTCTGAATTTTGATACAATCCCACCACATGTGGGAGAATGTACCTATCCCCCCACACTTGTGCCAGCATTTGTTTGAGATATTTCCCATAATATGTGCTAATTGGGTGGGGGTTCTATACCATTTGGAGATTATTTTCCTTTGGGTTTCCTTGATCCTCATATGTTTAATTTTATGAATATTGTCAATCCAAGACACAATTAATTTCTCATTGAAGCTTTCCTCTTGTTTCCAATTTTCTATAAGGGTTGTTTTTGTTTTGTAAGTTAAGGTGATTAATTCCTCATATGTTGTTGTTGTTCATTCGTTCAGTCGTCTCCGACTCTTCGTGACCTCATGGACCAGCCCACGCCAGAGCTCCCTGTCGGCCGTTACCACCCCCAGCTCCTCAAGGTCAGTCCAGTCACTTCGAGGATGCCATCCATCCATCTTGCCCTTGGTCGGCCCCTCTTCCTTTTGCCTTCCACTTTCCCCAGCATAATTGTCTTCTCTAGGCTTTGCTGTCTCCTCATGATGTGGCCAAAGTACTTCAACTTTGTCTCTACTCTCCTTCCCTCCAGTGAGCAGTCGGGCTTTATTTCCTGGAGGATGGACTGGTTGGATCTTCTCGCAGTCCAAGGCACTCTCAGCACTTTCCTCCAACACCACAGCTCAAAAGCATCGATCTTCCTTCGCTCAGCCTTCCCTAAGGTCCAGCTCTCACATCCGTAGGTGACTACAGGGAATACCATGGCTTTGACTAGGCAATGGATCTTTGTTGCCAGTCTGATGTCTCTACTCTTGACTATTTTATCGAGACTGGACATTGCTCTCCTCCCAAGAAGGAAGCGTCTTCTGATTTCCTGGCCACAGTCTGCGTCTGCAGTAATCTTTGCACCTAGAAATACAAACCCTGTCACGGCCTCCACGGTTTCTCCCTCTATTCCTCATATAGTAGCCCAATAATCCCTTTGTCTATTTCTACTTTCCTTTTAATTATTCTGTCAAGTGGGGTTTCTGCTACTTCTCTTCTTTTCATGGCCTGAGCTTTACTGGACAGGCCTAACCATGCTATCCAGTTTCCTTGACCACATTTGTCTTTTATCTTATCCCATTTTATTATTTCTCCATTGGGTTCCATGAGGTCCCCTATCCTTTTGATTCCAGTTTCCTTAAGCGCCCTAATTAGATTCCTGAATGTATTGTCCTTGTTTTCCAAGGTTTCTATTGGGAAAGGGTCGATTTTGTTTATTTGTAATTTATTTTGCCATTTTTTTCAAATTAACCACGTTGTTAAGCAGGGGCCGACTTTTAAGTTCTTTAAGTCTTTTCTGTCTATTCTCTCTCCCATATACGTTCCCCTTTGCCAACTGTTTGCTTCCTTTTCTATTTGCATCCATCTTTTCGTCCCTTCCAATTCAAATTCGAATAATCTTGCCAACTGACTTATTTATTTATTTATTTATTTACTCCATTTGTATACCGCATTTATCAGCCTCGGACGGCGACTCAATGCGGTTTACAGTAAAATGTGCAACACTGACAATATGTAAAACAGACATACACAGACAACACACATATAGTCATCAACGCCTCAAATAGAATCAGATCCCGTTCTCACAGTCGTTTTACCGTTCCTTGTTCAGTATGCCGTCTTACTGAGTTAGTTGTAATTGCATAATTATCTGAACGCCTGTTCATAGAGCCACGTCTTAACCCTCCTCCGAAACGCCAGTAACGAAGGGGCCTGCCTGATGTCCACTGGTAGGGCATTCCATAGCCGAGGGGCCACCACCGAGAAGGCCCTGTCTCTCGTCCCCGCCAACCGCACTTGTGACGCTGGCGGGACCGAGAGCAGGGCCTCCCCGGACGATCTTAACGTCCTCGCCGGTTCATAGGTGGAGATGCGTTCGGAGAGGTAAGTGGGGCCGGAACCGTGTAGGGCTTTATAGGCTAAAGCCAGCACCTTGAATTGTGCCCGGTAGCAAATTGGCAGCCAGTGGAGCTGGCTCAACAGAGGAGTAGTGTGCTCCCTGAGTGCCGCTCCCGTTAGCAACCTGGCTGCCGAGCGCTGGACCATCTGAGCTTCCGGGCAGTCTTCAAGGGCAACCCCACGTAGAGCGCGTTGCAGTAATCTATGCGGGATGTGACGAGAGCGTGGACTACCTCATAATATATTCCCAAAGAGGGGGCCCCCCATCCACCCATTTCTTATTTACTATAATACAGAAAGTTGGCAATTCTGTTTTTGTTTCCTCCCACTACCCATTTTTAATAGAGTTGTCCCATTTATTCAGCAAATTGTTAGGGATATTTACTGGGAGAGTTTGGAACAAAAATAGGAATTTGGGCAAAATCTTCATCTTATAAATTTTTAACCTTGTGGATATGTCTCGGAATTTCTTTCCCCATGTGTTAATTTGTTTGCTTATATTTTTTCATAGACAATTAAAATTCATTGGTATGATATTATTGCATAACATCATCTGCGTACAGATTAATCTTGATGTCTTCCTTGCCCACCTTATATCCTTTAATAATAGAATTGTTCCTAACTGAATTTGCTAGTGGCTTACATGACGCCGAGCCCAAACACAACAATACAAGCAATAATAACAACAATACAAGCAATTAAAATAAAAACATAGACAATAAAACATACAACATTATCAATAAGACAACACACAATTAAAAACAGTGGGATGGCCAAATGTAGAGTTAAAATTGGAAATAATGCTGGGTGGTAGTGGTGTTTGTGGAAAACGTAAAAGCAGACCTAAAATGTAAAGTGCTTTGGAGGACAAAGTGCTTTGGGATCATTATTCCGGGAAGGCACACTGGAACAGCCACGTCTTCAAGCTCCTCCTGAAGACTGCCAGAGTTGGGGCCTGTCTGATGTCTTTAGGGAGTGAGTTCCAGAG